GGGTCCCGTACGATCTTTGTGTATCGTCCCTTCTGCAGAACCTCTTCGATCTTCTGTTCGTAGAGAACGGTATCCATTACCACAGTAGCGTTTCCTTTATCTGCAGGTAGGATCTTAATGGTGTTGTCTCTACGTAGGCCGTTCAGAGCTCTACGTTCTTCCTTGCTGATGTTAGATGTTAGAACTGATGAAATTCATCACGAAACATTGTCAATCACCTTCAAACAAACGTAATAAATGATCATTATGAACGCAGAACGCTAATAGAATGCTTGAACAAAATTTTGTGATTTCGTTATGATTTGCCACAGGTGGTGACAGCCAGGTCCACTCGATTTTTGTATGGCAAACGGGTCCCAAATAAATGATTATATAAGCTTTCATGTCGTTTTATTACCTGCAGTGGCGCGCCTTTAGATATTTAATTAGAAATACTCCATTCGCACAAAATCATTCGTCTCCTCAGCAAAAATCGCAAAAAAGTGCTTGCTACACATCACCAATAACCTGTTGTTGAATTATTTCACCACAAATGTCAGCGAAACTTCAGAAAGAATATAGAAAATTCAACACTCACATTATTTCGATCTATGGATAATTTTCAATTTTTCTTCCCTATTGCTTATATTTGTTCAAAGTTATGACGAAAGTCAGTTCCTTACTAGATACCCTCATGAAAGGTATTTTTATGAATTCGTTATTTTCACCTATAGCAACCCCCAGATTCGAAAATAATACAAATGTTTTTGCAGAACACCCTGTGTGATGGAGAGTGTTTTCGAGAAATGACCTTCACGTCGTTTGGCAATGAGTGGAACTGAATTAAATGTAAGGACACATTGTAAAGACTAGTAGATACGGAAACATTCGCGAATTTATGAGTTCACCAATATGAAGTGGAAGAACAAACTCGAAAGCCTGAACGTGCACGACCACTCTGTGTGGAGGATGGCCAAAAAACTGAGCAATCGGTCTGAGGCTACTCCTACCATAGAGAGCGGGCAAGTGCACGCGGTGACGGACCATCAAAAGGCTCAGTTGTTCGGGTAGTATTTTTCCAGCATGCACCGAGTTGAACCGGATGTCTGTGAAGAACACACCAATAAAACCAGACTGGCTAATGAAGTCAGAAATAGGCTGGCTCCAATTATACCGAAGCAAACATTGATAAAGTGGATCACAGACGTAGAAGAAATCATTTTGAACATCAAGCGTCTGGGGAAAAACAAAGCCCCAGGCATTGATGGAATTGATGCAGTTCTGCTCCGCAATCTACCGCGAAAGGGTATCGTACAACTGGTGCATATTGTGAACGCAATAATCAAGCACCAGCATTACCCAGATTGTCTGAAACATGCGGTGGTAGTGCCCGTTCCGAAACCAGGGAAAATCAAAACACGTATTGATAGCTACCGCCCGATCTCGCTTCTCAGTTCGGTCGCGAAGGTTATTGATAAAATCATCCTAAGCAGACTTCTCCGCCTGGAAGATAGGATGAAACTTATCCCCGAGGAGCAATTCGGGTTCCGGCGAGGTCGGAATACGACATCGCAACTGGTCCGGGTTGTTCACGGGGTGAGGGAGTCCTTCAACCAGGGGAAGAATACAGTTATGGTCCTGTTAGATGTCAAGAAAGCATTCGATAAAGTTTGGATATAAGGGTTTGTCGCCAAAATGTGGTCGGCAGGCATGCCTTTATTCGTGATTAGGATTCTAGAATCCTACTTGAGCAACCGAACTTTTCGTGCGCCACGCGCACTCTTTCTCGAGCGAGGTGGCGAAGCAGCAGCTTCAGATCCACCTCGATAGGCTAGTCGTGCCGTATTTCGAACAAAATAAAATCGAAATAAATCCCGATAAAACTGAACTCGTAAACTTCACAAGGAAATTCACGAATGTGAAGATCTTCAGGAAGTTGCGAGTTAAGGATAAGTGCATTGACGAGCAGAAGAGTGCGAGATATCTGGGAGTGATCCTGGACAAACGCCTGAACTTCCAGGAACACTTGAGTAAGGCGATCCAACGAGCGGGTGCGGCGATAAAACGCACGTATCCGCTCATTGCACGGAACTCTAAGCTCAGTGTTGACAACAAGTTGCTTATTTATAAACAAATAATTAGGCCGGCTATGTTGTACGCGAGTCCTGTGTTCTGCAGTCTCAAGAAGTCCTCTTAATAGTCAATAAAGAACATTTTGATTTTGATTTTGAAACATGTGAAATTAATTTTATATAGCTTATAATATTTCAATTACTATATTTACTTGACTATTACATAAGGACACGTTGTAAAATTAATTTAAGACAAGTAGATAGGTTAGGTTAGGTTAGGTCTGAAGTAAGGGGGTCTATTCGACCCTATACTGCAACCCGCAAGAGTTTATGGTGGCTCACACCTATTCACACTCGGCCAAATAAACCCAGCTTCTTAACGAAAACGATTAGTTTGTATGGGGAGTGGACTTCCAGGTCAGATGGTTAGAGTACGGCTCTGCCGTACCCTCCTCTCCCGGGATCGAGGGATGTGTAGGCTCAGATGATGAGGTGAGGACACCTGCTGTCACTGAGTTGCCTGCTGATTTATTGGATCTCTTTGACGAGACGATTTTCGCCTTCTTTTCAGAGAGCCTTTTTCCCCGGTTTACTGATGAGACGCTGGCCGTCTTCGTCTCCTGAGAAACACCTGTTTTCCCGGCCTTGGGCTGGGTGTGAGCCGGTGGTTTACCGTTATGGTTGGGTGGAGGTTTGGTTGGACTCCTCCCCAGGAGGTGAATAAACGCATTGGAGTGAGCCAATCCTGGAAAATTCTGCCAGAAGTCCATTAATCTTTTTGCCATCCAGGTATTCAATGCTTGCTTGGCAAAGCCTAAAGTGATGCGAATGACAGGTTCTGGTCCGATGAAGCTGCTTGCAGCACCCCCCTTTGCAAGGGAGTCAGCAGCTTCATTGCCTTCCAGGCGAATATGGTCAGGAATCCATACCAGAGACAATCTGTGAAGTCTTCTGATCGAGGAGAGTCGTTTTTGGCAATTTCCTACCAATTTAGACAGTTGCTCGGTAGGAGCCAAGAGCAACCAATGTCGCTTGACTGTCCAAGAATCTTTTTATTGACTTGTATGAGAGGTTGGATTTATCCAATCTCTCCACACTGAATTCAATAGCGTAAATTTCCGCTTGGAATACAGTCGCATAAGTTCCTAGGCAGATAGATATACCTGTCCTGGGTCTGCGACTAAAAACACCTGCACCAGAACCGGAAGGTGTTTGTGAACCACAAACTGTGAACCAACAACTATCTGCTCTCAATATTTCCTTCTCTTGGAGGATCCAGTCCACTCTACTCGGGAATAATACTTTATAAGGCAGTTCGTAGTTGACAAGTAGATAAGGCAAATTGTAAAATTAATTTAAGACACTCAAGACGCAAGTACCTGGAACAAGTATCTGTGATATAAATAGGGATAGCTTTGTAAGTATGACTAGTTTGATCTTCCTCTTGAAGATGATCACTTAGTGATCGAAACACGTATCGAGGTGTTGAAATAACGGTTTGGTGTTGGGAAAAAACAATAGTAGTATTCATTACTACACTGAAGGTTCCAAACAGTGCATCACAAGAAAATAATTGGAGTAAAAAATGTCTCTCGTTCCACGCAACACGTGAGATAATGCCTGAAACGTTGAATGTGGGACACCCAGTATAGGTTCGGTTTTGTTCTAGTATTGAAAATACTGACCTGCATCCATAATAGCTTCGAGAGTTCTTTCCAGAGCAAGACGGTGCATTGGGTCCATGTACGTACATTGGAGCTTGTGGATACCAAAATAAGAATGATCAAAATATTCGGAATCGATATCTCCCAGATACGGAGTCACATTCAAATTACCTGAAAAAATACATTTTCTAAGCAGAATCTCAAGGGTCAAAGATGACTGTATCAAAGCTTTGCTCCGCGTTTGTTGGCGGTCGTCTCATTTTGTGACGTTTCGTTTTCAAGTGAGGTAGATATTGTTACAAGCAATGGGGTAACAGACGCAGAGCTTTGATACAGAATGATTTCCGTTATAAATACTCACTGTCGGAAAACACTGGGGTGAGAAGACTTTTGTTCTCGTACAGGCGTTTTTTGAACTCGACCAAATTTTTTGATTTTGGAAAGTATCCAGCGATTCCGGATATAACGGCATCATCGGGAACGACATTCATGTCTAACGGCGCAAATCTGAAAGGTGTTTGCTTATGATTATAAAAAGCTTAACAAGGGGAGGTGGTTCTCCTGAATGATAAAATGTGGAGTTGTTACATTTTTTGACTTTACTCCCGAAATTTCGACTTCAATCTCAAAATTTAGGGATTTAAGTCGTAATTTCGAGTTTAAAATCACAATTTTGAGCTAAAAAGTCATCTTTTAAGTTTCTGAAGTCGAAATTTCAAGTTTAAGGTGAAAATTTCGAGATCTAAATGAAATTACTAGAATTACGTCGAAATTTCGAATTCAAAGTCGTAACTACGAGTCGAAGAGTCGTAATTTCGAATTGAAAAGTCGTAATTTCGACTTGAAGAGTCGAAATTTCGAATTTAATGAAAAAGTTTTATGATTGAAGTGGTAATTTCGAAATTACGAGATTGGAGTCGAAATTTCGATTTTAAAGTCGTAATTTCGAGTTAAAAAGTTGCAATTTGAAGTTGAAAAGCCGTAATTTCGAGTTATAAATTTGGGATTTCGAGTTCGAAGTCGAAATTCCGGGATTGAAGTCGTAATGTCAAAATAACGAGAAGGAAGTAAAAATTTCTAGTTTGAAGTCGTAAATATGAGTTGAAAAGTCGCAATTTCAAATTGAAACGTCGAAATATAATCCTAAAAGTCGAAATTTTGGGTTCAATTTTGAAATTTCATGATTAAAATCGTAATTTAGAAATGAGTCTAAATTTCGAGTTTATTGTCGAAATTTCGAGATGGAAAGTAATAATCTCGAGTGAAAAAGTCGTTTTTACGGGTTGGAGAGTCGTAATTTCGATTTGAAAAGTCGTAATTTCGACTTCTTAAGTCGAAATTTTGAGTTAAAGGTCTTAATTTCGAGTTGGAAAGTTGTTATTTCAGGCTAAATAGTCGTAATTTAGACTTGAAAAGTGGAAATTTTGAGTTCAATGTCGAAATTTTTTGATTGAAATCATTATTTCAAAATTATACGAGATTTTTTGTAAAATTTTGAGTTCAAAGTCATTATTTCCAGTTGAAAAGCCCTAATTTCGATTTGAAAAGTCGTAATTTCGAATTAGAAGTCGAATTTTTGAGTTTGAAGTCAAAATTTCGAGATTAAAGTGAAAATTTCGAAATTACGAGAAAGTCGTAGTGACAAGTTGTTTGTGGTTTGTTTCAGCCTAGTTCGGAAATCATCGACTTTATTTCGACGATAGACACTATCAAACAGCTCGAAACCGGTCTGCAAGTGTGTTCCAATAATTGAAAACCTATTGGGAAAGCTGTATTGCCAACAGCATATGCAGAAATAACACCTTTCAGATATAATCCAACGCCCTTCGTAGTATTAGCCAGGGGAGTAGTTGTTTTCTGATAGGTGTTAGTCCGTTAACCTACAGTGTGAGTAATTTGAGACGGACCTGAACGAATTGTTCTTTCAGATAATTAAAAAAATTGTTTTTTCACATCATCGACTGAAGTAAGTGAAAAAGGAAAATATGAGGATTTGCTACACGAATGAAACCAATAAAATTTATAGAAGAGGTCGATGATATGTTTCTATTTTAGTTGAAATATGGAATTGGTTGTGAAATGGCATGTGCTTTTGCTGTATATTCTGATTCAATAAAGGAAGCTATGTTGAAAAAAGAAATGCAGCAACATACCACGAAGATATATCAACACGTTCTTCGTGAAGTTTAAATAATTTTATCTATATCAGTTGAAACCAAATAGAATATTTATTTATTCGTATATTTTTCCTTCTACATCTTCATTATCGAAAGAAAATTTGTTGGCCACAATTTCACTAGAACAAAAATTGTGCCAGATATCGATTTTTAACGTAGGAACGCCAAACTTCACATTTCGCAATGATTGATAGAAAAACAAACAACTTCTACAGTCGTATTACTATAGTGAAGAATGTTTATTGAAACTAACCATATCTAATGTTCACTCTAGCTCGATAGATACTGAATAATAACAATTATAATAACTTGACTTTCATTGACGATAAATAACATAGTGAATGAATAAATAATGAGACTGATACTGAAGGACTTACGCCTCAAAAGAAATTCATTATAGTGAATCAATTAACTGAATCATGGTTAACTGCTTCATTGTCAGAGCGATTACAAAAATATGAAAGGTTACTCTTGAGAAGAGTTTGAAAAATAAGTGGGTTTCATAGAGTGGTTTTAGAGTTTGTACTGTTGCCACTTATAAATAATAAGCATTTTTTATAGAAAATTTGTTAAGAATATACCTGATAGCTCAGTAGAGAAATTTTAATGAAACAAAATCACTAACGATCTACCCTAATCGACGATAAATGAAAAAAAAACGCAATATTCCCCACCCTCATCATCAAAATGAAGCAAAAAAATGTAGACATTCAAAAAACTCTAAACAGATCTTACATTACTGGTAACTGATGAACATGTTATTTTTCAATGAATTGATGGATGTAGCCGTTACTACGTGGTAGGAAATCATAATGAAGAAAAGAGAATTGAAACTTTTTATGTTTTTTACCACTTTTATTTGTAACTAACGTTACTACAGTTTCATCCTATAAGGAAATTTTCAAACGTATACATTAATGTAAAAACATAGAAAGTTTCAATTCTCTTTTCTTCATTATATTATTTTTCTTTGTCAGCTTGCCGTTCCTATACTAGTATGAAGTTTTTCATTACTTTTTGGCAAGTTATTTAAGATAAAAATACCCAAATCATCTCGACCCTCCGGAGAAAATTCAAAGTTTTTTTGACTGTGTTTGAGAAATCTATTTTTGTACTAAGAGTAAAATTTCCATCGGCTTAGCTATCGTGGTTCATGGAATATTTTCCTAACAACCTTTACATTATCCAATTATTACAATATGTTAAAACAACGATAAAAATAAAATAAATACAACAATAAAAATTAATTGGCGCTCCGGGGCGACTACATTGATTCCAGTGGCGCATTTGCTTTTTCAGCTGCAGGAAAACCCGGAAAAACCTGCAGCACCACATCATCTGAAGATCTTGATCCAACAATGTCCTCTCTCTCATAAAACAAAATGTAGGGTGTCTCCAGAGGCTCCAATAAATTCAATGCATCACCAGAACACTTCGTGACACGACTATCGTCAAACTTAAACCAGTCAATTATTATAGAATATTTGGTACCAGTTCCTTTTTAGTCTATTCATTGTTGTTATTTCTTACAACAATTATATTGATAGGTACCACTTTACTTACGTTAATTATATTTCCCAATCAACTCACAACCACGACTGCCTCCTTTGAAAATGTGAAAGCACAGTAAACTAAAAATGAGTAGGAATTCAAATTCGTCTTCACATAAACAAATCAATTAGTTGCAAACGAAAACCGTTGTGGAATGAAACACCTTAAGGTTAAATCATACATTTATTCATTTGTTAGGTTAAAAAAAATAACAATGCTTGGGTTATTGACATCAAGATATATTCGAAGGGTCATTCATGTGTTTAATAGAAATAAAACTGTAAAAAACATGAGCGATAACTCCTTGATTTGAGAATGGCATGTGAAAAATATGTTTTAATGATTTTACAGTACACACAAACTTGCAATTGTTAACAGTGTCAAATATGGAAAATAATCATGAAATAATTCAAATTCATTTAAGTAAATACACGAATTGAAAGATGTTCCAACCTCAACTTCAATATTCTAAAACAAAACCATTCAGTATTCAGAATTCCATCTTTCAATATTCCAAGTTCATAGACATCGAAATTGATCCGATCACAGGATATAGAATATAAAACAATCCCCAAATACGCAAACTTCGCACAGATTACATGCTGAGCATTTTGGCTTAGTACCTACAGTGACCGGATCAAAGTTGCAATGTCAGCGTATAAATCTTCATAAATATTGAGGGAAGTCAAGATCATAAACAGACAGTATTCAGAAATTCATTTTTGAGTATCTATGATCATCAGCAATGCAGCAAATCTCCTTCTCTTCATTCCTGCTGGTTGGCAGTATAATGTAAGTTTTTGGTGTTTTAATGTACCTATTTTTTTATCAACATTTGAGTGTGAGTTTATTTTTTCCCTTTCTTTACAATAAATATTCAATTAAGTTTTTAAATGAGTTCTTTCATTATTTGGATGATTGAATGAATGGGTGAAACAGTGAATAAAATCCTCTCGTTAATAGCCAGGCGAGTACTGAGTTGCGACAATAGTAAATCAAAATGAGAAAAGAGCATTTGCATTTTTGGTAATAACTCAAAAGCAATTGATATTCAAGAAATGAAAATGGGAAGATTCTGAAAAAAAAGACATTCAAACTGAAAAAATTGCAACTCCCAGAACTCCACCTTCATTTCTTCACTCTTCTTTCCAAAACGTCATACAAAAGTTAGCTAACAAATTATTTTCCGACCTCCGTTTCTACAAATGGCTTCATTAAAGTTAAAATAATAGAACTGATAAACTGCAGTTTCTTGGAACCCTATTTATTTATGAAAAACTTTTCTTTCTATGATTTTTCAAATTTCAAAATCATTTGAAATGTCTGAAAAATAATGTTGGAAACATTTCTTTCACAAATTTTGGCAAATAACTACTTGCGAATTCACAGTTATACTGTCTCTCTCTCTATCTGGATTTTCTTGGCCTTCACTCCTCAGTTATACTGAAATTTCAATATTTACAAACTGGCAAATGAATAAACTTTTTTTTTGGCTTATATGTGATGGATTTGTTCCTCGATGTAGTTTCAGGTATCGGCAACGGTATCTCGTTCCAATACCTGAAACCCCTTATGGGTAACATACGATGGAAGGTCGCCTGTTGATCTTTGTTTTCGAAACCCATATTGATGATCGGTCAAGCCTTCCAAATATTCAAGAATATGGTGGATTACGGCTGATGAAGTTAGTTTATAGCAAAACACGTGTCGCTAGTGAAAATCATACATAAAATTATATCAGTTCCCAATTTACGAACGTAATTGTTTTGGAGTATTTCGAACTATCTGCAGATGTCTCACAAATACCATCTTTACAGAGCAGGGCTTTCGTATAGGCTGCACAAGCTCATACGCCCTACTTTCTTGGGGGCTTCTGACTTCATCCTAGCGGACCTTCGACTGCAACTTTCACCGGTACGTAGAGACACTCCCAGCTGACGATTCATTCCTAACCGTGGCCTCGGGCACAGTATAGAAGTAAACACCAGTAGTTCACTCACCGCCATATTTGGGTCAAGATTCCCCACCTCGAATTTTATGCGCGGCCGAACTACAGCGCAACCGAATGAATCTGAGGCGTTTACTAAGCGAGCCAAATTGAGGCATGGAATATTATTACAGAGTTAATCGTTGTGAGTGTTGGTTTTGTATTTGTGGAAAATTTGTGTCTGGTTTTAAAATGAACAAGTGTCAAACTGTGGGTTGCTGTAATTTGAAGGGTGATGTCGGCATTCATTTTTTTCGATTTTCAATTGACGAAAGAAGAAAGTATGTTTTTTATTATTTATTATGTAAGATTGAAGTAATGAACATATAATGAAAATCATACGATAAATTGTTATAGACCATATATAGTGAAGTCATTAATATGCAGACTTTTTATTATGAATTTAATTTGATGAAATTGAACTTTATAAATAGTATATGCCTCCAGTTCCACTGTAAATCAACAAAGAAAAATAATTGTTGAACCACATCAAGTTTTGTTTTGTATCTAGGAAAACAATTACTTCCACTGAAATCTTTGCAAAACCAAAGTATCAAATGTTTATTCGGATAACCTTTCTTGGAGCCTACTTTCCATTTATATGTTCCAGATAATTTACTATAAATAGCAAATGTCTTTTCTTAGATTTTGTCATCAATAACAAAAAACATTGGAATTTCATTCGATAATTAGCAAACTAGGCAACCCAAAACTAAGAAATCTGTATTTTATATTTATGTTTTGATTTACAACAACCAACCCAATAATATAAAAAAAAATTATTTCAGAAAAACGATTCAAAACACAATGAAATTCTGCAAATGCTTTAGTAGTCATGGCAAAAGGCATACATTCGAACTGGAAACAGCCTGTTGCATACTTTTTTTACCAATTCATCCACATCAATACTGGATATAAAAAGTATTGTGATTGAAGCTGTTAGGCAATTATCAAAAATTGGATTGTGAGTCAGGGGTATCATTTCAGATTTAGGTTATAATTTTTATAAACTTGCCAGAAAAGATCTCGAAGTGACTTTAGAGCAGCCATATTTCGTTGTTGATGAGAAACAAATATTTTACATCTGCTGAAATGTAGCAGAAACCATTTTTTCGATGACTTTTTGAAATTTAATGAATATACAACGAACAAAAGTCATCTTGAACAACTTTACAACTTGGATAAAGAAAAGCAATATAGACTGACACCCAAACTTACTGATTCTCATTTATTTCCAACTAACTTTCAAAGAATGAAGGTTAAATTAGCCAGTCAAAAGTTTTCAGTCGTTCGGTAGCTACAGCGATGAAACCCTATGCAAGATTCAATCAGATATTTCAATCTAGCAGACCACTATTATAATATTCATGCAGTCATTGTTCACTGTGGTTCTGGCGTTGAATTTGATCATCATTACGCCTTGATCAAAGACGAAACGGACTGATTTAAGTTTGACGATAGTCGTGTCACGAAGTGTTCTGGCGATGTATTGAATCTATTGGAGCCTCTGGAGACACCCTACATTTTGTTCTATGAGAGAGAGGACATTGGCAAATCAAGATCTTCAGATGATGTTGTGCTGCAGGTTTTTCCGGGTTTTCCTGCAGCTGAAAAAGCAAATGAGCCACTGGAATCAATAAAGTAGCCTCGGAGCGCCAATTAATTTTTATTATTGTTTTTATTTTTATCGTTGTTTTATAATTTTTTAGCAAATTAACGGTAATATAAAAAAAAACAATAGAAATTTGAAAACAAATGTTAAAAAAAATCAAAAACTCATCATTCTAAAAAACCTTTAAAATATATCAGCATAAGTTTTTGTCCTAAATTATATAATCTTACTATATAAAATATACGTTCATTTCACCACTTCGTCTTATTTTTTATCAATTCCTAAACAGTTCACAATCATATGAGACATTTATTGGGAGCTCCTCGTAGCAATGATGAAGTCAGATCATGGTCACATATTTTTTGATCGAACCTCGTGCAGAGATGCACAACAGCTCTTAGCCGACACCCTCCTGCCCCGCCACATGCCAGCAAAGAATAAAATCTTAACCCAAAACATCAAAGAGACCGAGGGGAGTGAATTTACTTCTGTTTACTTATGTACGATGCCTCGGGACTTATATTAGAGATACCTCCGAATAGCTTGGGTCTTTTTTTTGTGGTTTGAAGACGTCGACTACGAAATCTTTGGCCTACTATTATTAGTTTGTTTTTTTGTATAATTTGCTTTCTTGTTTAAATTTTTGAGCTTTCATAAATTTCATAATTTTATCCAGATTTTCACTATGATTTTTCAGACATTCCTTCAGAGAATTTGCGAGGTATTTCAAATCATTGTCTATACTCTCCCCATCTAAGAGCTCCAAAGCATAATCATGTATAGTGTGCACGTGATTTCCCAGACAAGGGTGCCTGTACAGAGTCAATTTCCATTTGAAACAGTTTATCTCGAAAACGGTTCAAAATAGAAATAGTATTATCTGAACAGAGTTGATCTAAAATTGGATGTAGAGCTCAAAAATGTTGAAATATACAGGGTGCTCCATTGGAAAAAATTGAGTTCCACTCATTTTTTCATGAGAGCAAAGTATCTGCATTTTTTTGAAGACCCTGTATGAGGCTAATGAAAATATAACTCGGAGTGAAGATCCTCATAGTATCACTCCACTCCATTTCAAATTTGATAGTTTTAGTGCAAGAGAGTTCAAGATTATCAACATTTATAAAAGTTCATGTTTGGTAAAAAAAATATCGAAATTAATTTATATCTTCTAAACGGTAATAGATAGGTATAGGGAAATAGTATATGAATTTGTTGACACAGTGATAATGAATCATAATATGATATTATATACGGGGTGTTCCATTTGTAAAATCAAAGAAGCCGCTACTTTATAGTAGAAGCGACAACGCCGCTTCGTCTAAAATGTAGTGTAGGTCATATTGATTTATGCATACTGTGAGATTTTCAGGTTGATCCGTTGAATAGTTTGCCAGAAACGGCTAATTAACGCTCATCATGAAAAGCCCTGTATATTAGTTGGTTCGCTTTATAACCAACATTTTTGAAGTGGTTGACGCGCTGTACCAATAATCTAACATATCTCATGCTTTCTTCAAGCGTACAGTGTCAATCGTACATCTTGCAAGTATAT